CAAAATATTGAACAGAAAGACAGCGCCAGATGTCTGTCTGTCTGTCTGTCGGCTTCATCTGTCTGTTGTTCCATGGCACCGACCAGGACGCATCCCGCTCGGCCCTGCAGGTGATCTGCAGCCGCACGCGCCGTCCTACTTTTGGAGTAAATAATATTGGTATCGTCTCGAGATGCATTTTGTGGTTAAACCAAACGTGACCGTACAACAGGCTCGAGTAAATGTCAAGTGCACGGCGGCGCGCCTGTGAATGGCAGGCCTTGTTTCTAAAGGTTAATTGACTGGCAGTCTATACAATCCTATTGTGAAATCCGCCCTTTATTTAGCCAGAAACACACGTGACCCATATTTTACATAATTCTTTTCGGAGTAAAGAAATGGTCGAGATGAAAAAGGATTCGCACGGTTCTTGTGTGTGTGTGAGGGTGTGTGTGTGTGTGTGTGTCCGGCTGTCTGGTGAGGCTAAGAAAAGCCGCTGGTTGCTCTATTCTCCGGTAAAGGGCGGATTAACGGATCGGGGGTTCAGGGCACAATGCCCAGCTCGAGCACCATAAAGCACCGTAGTTTATCCAATTACCGACTTAACGTCAATCAACTTTGTTACTTATGCAGTGACATCTGAGCTGCTTAACACACGCCTCTGGTTAACACAATTTTACACAGCGACACGTAATTTCAGTCGCTTTAAGTGTTTACCAACCCACTCGAAGTCCAGCTCAATAAAGCGTTGCGTTTATTAACAATTTAAAAAGTCGTTAGACTAACGGTACGTTTAAATAGTATCAATAATAATCACAATTACATTAATATAATGACGCTAAACAATAGCCTGCGCGTATAATTGTATTGTAATGTCTGAGGTAGAGGATTTGTATTATGTATATTTTTAGTCTAATTTAGGAGAATTAGGAAATTAAATTTGTGCTAGCAAGATTTATATTGTTATTATCATTTTCATGGACCATTTGTTGCGTCAAATGGATATAATGCATACAACTAATAGTAAGGGGAAGTCACATTGTCTTTATTTATTTTTATATAATTGTATTGTATTTTATTTTATATAATTTAATTGTATTTATTTGTTATTTCATTTTATATAATTCTATTTCCTTTTATTTTATTGTATTTCAGATTATTTTAATATGTTTTATAGTTGATCATTGTTAAGGCCAATACTACATTTCTCTTAAGCTGCTGGCACTTGAAAAGAACACAGGTTTGACCCTTTATTGAGGGGAAGAAAGAAACGGCTCTTGAACCCGCTTGCACGTAGCGGATGTATGAACGGAACAGATGATGGTCTCATGCAGCCCCGTCGCATCTTTGAGCGCGTTAAAGAGATTTTCATGCTGAACAAAAGCAGCTGCCACACCTTCCTCCCGTCACTAAGCTAATTCATGCAAGACCTCTGCGTTTTGTATATTGATTTTATAATCACTTTAGCTTCGGAATAGAAGAAAAGAAACAGAGCAGGAGCGGGCCGAGGAGGAACTACAACACGCTGCTTTCTCCCAGTTTATTTTAATCGGGGTTCTGCGTGGGCCAGGCCTCGAGGCTTGCACGAGGGATTAAGTGGGCTTTTTTTTCCCGAATCAAAAGCGTGTGTTCTCCTTTTTCTTGATGACATTGTTGATAGCCAGCGAGTCTGATCTGGAGCAAAAATTGGGACTACAACAGGTTCCCATACATGTAAACCCACGTAGGCTGGGGTGTTGCGTGTCTGCGTGCGCGAGCTTTGCAGAGTTGAATCCCCAACAGGTTGCAATGAACCCCGCGCGCTCGTGCTCGTTTCTCAATCTGGACGAGTTTTAGCCCGGAGCCTTTCAAATTAAGCTCGTTTCTGTTTGAGCCGTGAGCCGCATCCTTTATTTCCACGATCCCTCAATTTTTAGTAGTACTGCTAAGTGACGTAATCTTTCTAACAAAAGGGCTTCCAACCACCACACTCATGTTCAAGTGGCGTGCAGCAGAGCCACTGTAGTGGCGACCCCCGCAACATCTCAGGGGTTATATGTGGTTACACCAAATAATGAAAAGATGCATTCTGCCAAACGGAGATGATGTATTCGACGGCTTCTATTGAAATGAAACCACATGGTATCAACATGAAAAAATCTTATTCACTGTTTTAATGGGAACAAAAATAAATAGAAAGGGACCAAAGATCTATAGAAAAAAACGTTACAAACACGGGGCTCCCCAGATGTTTATTAAATATACAAGGTTTAGTTTTTGTATTGCATGATTATGCTGTCACGTCCATTGCTAAGATCTGAATGTGTCCCGTGCACAGAAGGATACCCACAAAGCACCACGGCTCAGGTGTGATGGGTTCCAGGTGTTCATGACAGCGCGGTTAAACGGCGCTGCAGCGCGTGTAAACATCTGGGTGAAGTGACTTCTCCGTGCCTGCTCGTGGCTAATGAGCGCGTGTCTCCGCAGGGCTCCGTGGAAGCGCAGTGTGGGCTCGTGCTGAACGGCCAAGGGGGCGTCATCCGGAGAGGTAAGCCCCCCCCCCCCTCACCCCCCCTCTTTCTTTCTTTCTTTCTTTCTTTCTTTCTCTCTCTCTCTCCAATGCTGTTGCACCCGAGGGCCAAGAGGAGCTTTCGCGGCTCGACACGACGAGGCAGAGAGCAGACAGACGAACGGGGCGGAACGCTGCTCTCTTGTCTGCCGTGTCTCTCTTGTCTCTCCCCGTCTCGTCACGCATTTAAACACTAACACGCCCGTACACGCGCAGAGACGGGTGCTTCCCATTTCCAGTATGGAATCGACTGTCACTCAACACTTACCCGCTTGGTTGTTTTACTTCCAGTCACTCTGAGCGTGTGTCCGTGCGCGTTTTTTTCCCCCATCAGGAAATTAAAATGTCAATAAAGTCAAGAATTCATATATATTAATTCTTGACTTTATTGACGATCGAGTCGTTAATAAAAGTCAAACCTGCGGGCTACATTTGAACGGTGGAGACGGGCGGCTGGTATTTGTTTTTATTAAATAAACACTATATTTTGATATAATATTCATGCTTATTTTACGATCATACATTCATTCATTCATCAAAATTCACCAACATTCTATCCCGATGTCAGCTCTCACCTGTAATGAAAATATTTAGCAAACACACAGTCGTTCAATGAATATTTATTAACAACTTTTATTTTTAGCACACCCCATGCGCACTGTAAAAGCCCTGAAGGCTAACTGATTAGCTACAAATTAAAGTACAAATTAATGTCTGTAATTTATATTGTCAATAAATAAATCCAATTCAGTCTGATACGCTAACATAAAACATCGTTACTATATATTGGAAAAAGACTAAATGGGTCATCTAGGAAACAGTGTCCTTTGAGCTGTCCTGTGTTACCACTCATTTGATGGCTTCTGGGCAAATTGTTTTTCATTCAGTTTTTTTTTTTGGGGGGGGGGATTTTGTGTATCGGTGGACTGCTATGTAATCCAGGAATAATGACTCCCCTCTGGTGCAGCGCCTTGTTGTTGCACGTATATTGTATGTTTAATGACAGGCAGCGGCACCGTGTCTGTAAGGTCCGACTTCATCTACGATTGGCACACTTTCCTCACGGAGTCTGGGTTTTGAACGCGCCGTGGATCTGCTTTATAGGTCCATCAAAGCCTGTTTTCTATTTGCCGTTTTTAGACCCGTTTTCCATACAGACAGACTCGGCTGTCTCGGCTTTAATTTTTCAGCCCTTGCCTAGGTGTTGGGGCTTTTCTCTCGGATTGACGCGGGAATCCCTTCGCTATCACTTTCGGTTAATGGTGCGCCGTATTTGGCCCTGAGCTCAGCCGCTGCAACCATCACAACCAATAATCTTTGCTTTACCTCCCGCTCCCGTATCGATAGCTTCTCTCGCCTCGGGCGGACGCTTTGATATGCTAATGCCGAGCGGGGCCCCGGATTCAGCCGAGATCATATTAATGTTGTTCTTTCTGACTGCGGCTTTGGCGGCATGAATATTCACATAACCTTTTTTTTTTTTTTTTTTTTTTTAAAGAAAAATCACTCAAGAAAACGAGGATCCTACTTAGGAGGAGTCGTCTGTGTTTTTAATCACCCCGCGAGCCCCCTTTTTCCAGTTGAGCTCTATAACCGGCAGCCTCTCTTTAAGATCAAGCTGATCTGTCAGAACGCGCGCAGCCGCCACGGAAGCCGCGTGCACGAGTCCCCCCCCCTCTCCACACACTTTATTCTGCCAAGACATTGACGGGATTTTTATTTGCGCTGTAAACATTGTTATTAAATATGAGGAGGATGGCATTTGGCCCGTGTCTCCTTTTCTTTAATTTTCGTGGTAAAAGGCGCTTGATTCCGCGTGTGATCGCGCCCGCCGCTCGCGCCGCAGCCCGAGGCTACTCTCCGTTGCTTAAATACCGTTATCGCCTCTGGGCCCGCGTGCTCCGCTGACTGCACTACCGGCAATAGCTCTTTTTCCATTGCCCTTGGCAACATGAAATACAAACTACTTTGAATCAAAACATTTTTAGGGGAATTAATATGATGTGAACCCGCGGCTTTCAGAGACGCGCGCCCCTGTCAGAGCGCGTGAGTGTGACAGACAGGCCTGCGGTTTTTGTGTCACATGCAGACGCATGGAGAGCTGGACTTCACACACACGCGCACCCGCGCACACACACACGCACGCACACGGTTCCTTAACCAACATAGCATCGATGGATTTTCCTCCACCTGCAGTGCATAAGGTTGCTGTCCAGGTGCTGAAATGAAAAGTGGGCATTTGCTGTCCACGGTGCCTAAGCTGACATTTCTTTTTTAAAGCTGCAGGTTCTAACTGCCTTCCTGCAGCCCGATGGATAGACGAGATAGGAAACTAGCACAATTCTGCTGATTGTGAATAATGGATTTCTAGAGCAAACAATAAATACATAGCCTAGTTGGTCGTGTATTCAAGCTTTAGTTGTTGGCTGTATTATCCGCATTGCCTCAAAAATATTGGCGTGTGCAGGACAATCTTGGCCTGTGGTTCTACTCGGCCTGAATGGCATTATTTTCCTCATTCCATCATCATTCCAGCACAACCTACAAAGCGACACGCCCTGCTGTTAGATTTGGTAATGAGCCAGATGAATAATAGAATATAGCCTATACAGGACTTCAGACAGAAACCTTGCATTTTAACTGCTTGGGACGTTCAAGTGGAAGTTTTGTAATAGCAGGCCTGCTCGGAGTCAAGTCCATACATTCAAGGAGGATTCAGAAACACTGATTCAGATGCAACTAATGATGCGAAAGAGCCCTTGTTACGACCACTCACCATCCGGGGCTACACAAGGAAATAAGCTTGGTGGAAGGTGACTATGGAAATCGTCAAGGAAGATAAAACAGGTTTTTCCAGACAAATATTGAGTATAAATATATGTATGAAGTAAATATTTCCCTATTTCAAAAGCGATTGATGAAGTGCTGAGCAAAACACATGATCCGTTGTAATTTGTATGGACTGAGTGGGCCACTCAATCCTTCCTGGATTACATTTTTGTTTAGAAAATAATATTTAAGGATAAATATTATGTCATCTGCAGAAGGATTATGAATCTTTTCAGATTTCCATTGAAAAAGCTGTCCCTTTAATCAACGGTATTGGTTGCAGACAAACAAAATAATTATTTGCTCTTATTGGGTTCAAATATTTAGCCGGCGTTTTCAAATGTATACTCTTCTGAAAAAATGTGTCCCCACAAAACTGGAAACAGGGTTGTTTTCTAAGCTCACAAAAAATTGAGATTTTGTTGATGTGTGAAGATCAAAATGGGCTGTATCCTTAATTTGTGTGAAGGCAGTGAGAGATGTGCACCACCATACTTTGTGTAAGAATAGAAAGGTAGTAAATATAAAAACAATGTCAAGTTTTGTAATTGATTTTCATGTCAAAAGACGCATTGAATAATTAGTGAGAGTATCTTGAGCACTTGTACAGACTTTCAAAGTTCTAAAATTGGAATCGGATCTACATTAGCTGCTCTTACACATCACGCTATTTATCCATTAGTAGTTCCCTTTTGGAATGAAATATACATGTATTTTCTACGAGTCAAGGTTTTCACAATCTAATTTGATTTTTATTGGACAAATTCAGTAGAGACATGAAAGCACCCACACTAAAAATAAAAGAATAATTGTTTAATTGATTCTGATATACTTATTTTGTAATTATTCCTAAATAAGCGCAGAAGTGGCTGTACCATAAACCAACGGACAAAAAATGGCCTGATAAACCTGCCTTGACTAATTCGCAGAATTAAGCAAGCTTGTGTCCATATGGGGTTTTTCCCCATATGGACAAAACAACTATGAATACACTGTAAATTTGTGCCAAACGACGGGTCAGCACCCCTGTTAAATTATGTTTTGAACACTTATTAGATCCATCTTTCGTACACAGAAGTACAATAGTACAATCCCCATTAATCTATAAAAATCCCCTACCAACTGATAATAGCAAATTGTTTGAAATCTGCTGGATTTCTCCACCGTTCTTTGTTTCAAGGTTCCATCGTTGTGCTGCATTATTCCAGCGTCATGTTGCTTTGTCTGTTGACACACAACAGCGATAGAGAAATGCTTTGCCAATTATGCGTTCACTGCTAAATGACTTATAACCCAGTGGTGTTTGTTTTGTTCAAATGACACAGCGAGTGATGCTCCCGGCACAGCTCCATGCCAATCACCAAAGCAAACCGCTGTGAGCAGCCATTTGCTCTTCTATCAAACACTTTGTTAAAAAATGATCTGGTAAAACAAATAAAAATAAAAATAAAATGTTTTTCTCAGTTCAAGAAAAGGTGACATTTTGGGGATTTGTGCTTTTTATAAGACAGCGACAAAGATCAAAAAACACTCTATCTTGAATTTTCGTAAACAGAAACGTGGATCGAGCGTCACTTAATATCAAACTATCAAGTTTGATGAGCGAATGCAATGATACAACCTTAACCAGCGTCTCAACTGACGGAGAGCACACAACACAACTCATTCAGAGCAACAACAACCATTTACATTCTTTCTTTTGCCATCTTATCCTCCTCAATGAGCGTTGCTGTAACTGGTGTGCTGTGTTTTTGTCTGCAGGGGGGACATGTGTGGTGAATCCCACGGACCTGTTCTGCTCGGTACCGGGCCGACTGTCGCTGCTTAGCTCCACCTCCAAGTACAAAGTCACCATCGCCGAGGTGAAAAGAAGACTGTCCCCACCTGAGTGCCTCAACGCCTCCCTCCTGGGCGGCATACTGCGCAGGTCAGTGCAAACGCACACACGCAGAAAAAGGGTTCCTTAATGGTTCTAGATGTGACTGTGAGGATTTGAGAGGGTGCGGGTGATTCGTTGACCTATACTCTTTTGGTTGATTTGGAGCTGCCGACATGGTTCATGTTTAAATTTCGTTTCATTGGCTCGTTTTAGAACCAATGCATGTTGTTGTTGCAGAGAACCGTGGCTGCTGACGCTTTGAAGAACAATTGCATACGTCCCTTAACACGTCAAGTGATTCCGGATCCTTAGATCATGATTGTTTGGCAAAATAAAATGAGATAATCTTGCAGTAGCAAGTAGTTATATAACGGTGTGCAAAGTGCAGTAGTGAACGGCTGGTAAAAACAATGCAACGACACAACATCTATACCCTCATAAATTGACCACTCCTACTGCGGCGACCTTCTTTTGGGTTGCACCAGATTAACAAAAAACGTTTAGGTTAATTTGTCCACCCACTCCATATCCCGTAACAGCACAGAGTGTGACAGAGATGGATTTGGAAAGTGAGAAGCCGTGTTTTTTGTAAAGGGTGAATCTGGCTGGTGGACATTGGAGAGCGTTGCCTGAGTCTTTGTAGCCCTCAGATGAAACAGAGAATCTACGGCAGCGCCCACAGACTATCGTAGGCGAACGAGGGCCGCGGCTGCACGCGCCGCCATGCCCAGGGAGCCGGGGGGAGGCGAGACCCGGGCCAAAGCTTCAGAGGAGAGGAAAGCAAGAGTTGCCAGTGCTGTATTATTGATGAGGGGGGGAGGAGAGAGAATATGGTCAGTCCTAGATTAACAAAGTGAAATCAAAATCTGACGTGTGAGAAGTGTGATTCCACGTGTCTGTGTATCGAAGCCGAAATCATGTTCATCTAAAAATGATGTAAAAGCCACAGTCGTTTTAATCAAGACAAACAAATCTTTTGGGAGCCAAATGGGATAGAAAGGAAGCACATATATTGTTAAAATCTCACATGAAAAGAGGAAGAAATGACAGAGTCTGTTGTTCCTCTGCTTTCCAAAACAGGAGACAATTCCTCAAACAATGACAGACAAAACTCAAGGGGACATCCGGCTATATCTATGCGTCAAACAAGCACATTTAATACATTATGAGTTGACATGTTTTAATTTTATACTCTTTGATTTTATGCTTTATTTCACGCCTTTGTCAAATCAAAGCAAATCTATATTCTTCCATCTGTACTTTCAAGACTTAATTAAGCACACCGTGCTTTGTAGAATAAGGAAGCCAGATGGTTTTAATTATATTTTGGCTCAATGCCTTCTGATGAATGATGATGATGATGATGCCATTTTGTGTTCTATACATGATGAGTACGTGACTTAAGAAGTTTTTTAACTTTCCTGCAGAGCGAAGTCTAAGAACGGAGGCCGGTGTCTTCGGGAGAAATTAGACCGTTTAGGCCTTAACCTGCCTGCAGGACGCAGGAAAGCTGCCAACGTCACACTACTCACCTCCCTGGTGGAAGGTAAGGGACTACTCTGCAAAATACATTCCACAATCTTTCCCTTTGTCTTCAGGTGTGCTCCTGTTTACGTGTTCCATCCTTGTGGCTCTTGCTTTATTGGTCTTTCCTCCTGGTTTCGTGCTCAGGTGAAGCGCTCCACCTGGCGAGGGACTTTGGCTACACCTGCGAGACAGAGTTCCCCAGTAAGGCAGTAGGAGAACATTTGGCGAGGCAGCACAGTGAGCCAAAAGAAACCAGCGCACGCAAGAAAATGGTCCTGGCGACAAAGTGAGACGGCACTCAATAAAACGCACTGAAAAACATTTAAATTTAAATTCTGTTCATCCTGTTCTTCAAGTCTATGTTTCATTGTGAAATTTAAAACGGTCAAGTCCATTCTGCAGTTGCAATAGGGTGACGGAAATGGATCATTTTAAACCAAATTTTCCTCAGTTCTCCCATTCACAGCCACTTCATAGTCACGCTGTACTAAGCCAGACAATGGAGAAAATGTAATGTAAGGATGAGAGAAGTATATAAAACATCATAAACATCAAGAGGAAAGTGGTGCCAATCCCAAATACATCACCTCGTTCAGCGCGGAACAACTATTTGAATTCCTTGTGAGCACAGTTGTACTTGTACGTGTTTGAGCATGAGCAGCATTTACAGTCAGGCATTATTAGCACCACTGCTCATTGAGTACTGGATGTGCCGAGGGCAAAAAGGCTTCCACTCGTTTCCAGGGAAGTTTGATCTTATTTTTTTGATTAAATCCTCCCAGAGCTGAGTCAAATCCAAAAAGACAGACTGGACCACTGCGAGAAAAACCCCAAATTACGCTTGCAGAATTTTGGTGTTTTGCTCGTTTTTGGATTGACATCGAAATTGTCTCGCTCCAGCATGTGTGTTTCCTGGGAGGGATTTAATGTGCGGGTTGATCCAAAATGACCGGGATGGGTGCAAGGAGGGGAGAAAACCCAAAATAAGGCCAATTGTGACGGTTGTGTTGGAGACAGATGGTAAACCCTCCTTCCCTCCCTCCTTCTGTCCATCAGGCAAATCTGTAAGGAGTTCCAGGACTTACTGAGCCAAGACCGCTCTCCTCTGGGCTCCTCCAGACCGACCCCCATCCTGGACCTGGACATCCAGAGACACCTCACACACTTCAGGTAACGCACACACGCGCGACGTCTACACAAAAGCAATGAATATTCTTTTGAAGAAATGGAGTCAAAACTGAGTGCAAGCTGCTTCTAACGGCGTCCGCCTTCCCTCGGTTTTGGCTGCGACCGCTTTCCCATTTTCCAAACAAGCAGCTGTGCAGTTTGTTAGTTGGCACGAATTAGTCAGCTTAATGTCACATCTATGGCGTCATCCGTCGCAGAATCTACACAAAAGGGAGAAAAATAACATTGTGTGAATACAGTTCAATGAGATTGAAGAGCAGCTGAGAGGTGACCTGACATTTAAGAAGCTGCCTGAGGATCCGACAAGGAGGACAAACCAGTACCACACTGCAAAAAAACTATTTGATGGCTCTTTCATTTCCAGTTGTTGCTGTCTTTAGTCAATGGCAGGTCTCTGACGTGTGCCGTCTTTGGTTTGTAGAGTTAGCTTTGTTGTAGAAATGGTCGTCAGTTGTTTCAACTAAGCAATGCGTCAATATTTAAACCTGAGTAAATTCAGAGAAGAATTTGCTGAAACAGTTGCAGCATGCAGTGTTTCCCAGGGTGTAAACATCCTTCAGGGGGTCAGAGATCATTTAAACTCTGCTCTGGACCTTCTTTTCAGAGGAAAAGAATCCCTGTAATGCAGGGAGATGGAAAATGAACAAATAAATGAACCTGCGTTCCAAACCCCAGACTGAAAACTGCCTCTGCCTCCCCTTTTCCCCAACAGTCTGATCACTCACGGATTCGGCACGCCGGCGGTCTGCGCGGCTCTGAGCACCTTCCAGACGGTCCTGAGTGAGATGCTCAACTACCTGGACAAAAACTCGAGCGGGAAAACGGGCGGACCCAACGAGCAACAGATCAACAGCAGCTCAGAAAAGACGCAGCTCCGGAAAACAGCCGAGCCCCAGAGCAAAGACGGGAAAACAGAAAAGACTGAGTAGCCCGCAATCCCCGTGCCTGCAGCCAGCGCTGCATCTAGGAGAGTGTGTGTGTGCGTGTGCGTGTGTGTGTGTGTCTGAGAAAGGATTCGTTAACCCCCACACATTACTCTTCTTTGGGACAATTCATATTTATTGTTATTTATTTATCTTATGTTGAAATGTAACTCTAACCTGAAACGTCCCAAACAAGACGTCCTGACCTTTTGAGTGAACACATCATGTTTAGGTGTGTGCGTGTGTGTGTGTGTGTGTGCGTGTGTGTATGTGTGTGTGTAAGTGGTTGTGTCATGACGGGGAGAAGCCTCGCAGCGAGACGGCCGTGACTCATCGAGGACTTTTATTTGTTTTATTTATTCATTCTGAAATGAGGAAGTAAACATGGACATGCTGACATCACAGTTTTCCACGCCGGGGGCCAGTCGGGGGAGAACATGGGGGGGAGAGTAGCTGCCGATACAACATAACACACATGACACACGTAACACACACATAACACATGCGTTTCAAGGGCTTTGGACAATTTGATCTCAATCCAGCTAATTCAGGTGTATTTCAATGTTCTGCAACAAACTAATATATGAAACAGCTTTTTACTGCTCTCAAGCTTCATTGAAGTCATTTAGCGTGAAATTATAAAGTAATGTCTGTCATTGCCACGCAAGGTTCTAATAAAATTCCCAGTTGACCGAATTAAAAGGATCTCACTTTCCAAACATCTTTAAATAGATTGAATTTCAAAGGACGACCCTGACCCAGGCCCATTCACACACACACACACACACACACACACACACACACACACACACACACACACACACACACACACACACATGCACACGCACACACACCTGTTCCCAAGCAGATCTTAAAATGTACACCATACAATCAGGTGCCATAGCAACAAGTATGTTTTACCATGTGGTCAAAAGAGAAGAAAGACGCTGTTTCTGGATGTGAGACTGACACCGCTGCCTGTGCCGGGCAGTGTGTGAGTGTGTGTGAGTGTGTGTGAGTGTGTCTCAGTGTGGCAGAGAGAGAGAGAGAGAGAGAGAGAGAGAGCGGTCCACCTCAGCCATTTTGTAAAAGGTGACTGTGCGGTTGCCGTTGTTTCTCATCCCTGTGCATGTCTATCTTTGTACACTCCCCGGATCGCGAGTTTAGCCGACAGAAGCTCTCTGAGTGGCCCATGAACATTTGTAAAGATATATATAAATATTTAAACTACTTTTCTTGTAGGCTTTCAACTATATATATGTTAAATGCCTACCTTCTAAAATGCTGGTGTTCAATAAAGACAGTTGCTACGTGTTCTACTACTTACTCTGGTTTGATCATGTGCTACACTCACACACACACACACACACACGCACGCACACACACGCATGTGTAAACATACAGAAGGTGGCAAAGAGAGCAGGCAGAGACTTAAAAGAAGACGGCACAGATCAAAGCCAGCGAGTGTGAATTATCCACATGAGTTCACAGTGTGCAAATTATAAAAAGTTAGAGTTCCTCTCTAATGTTGTGAGAAAAAAAGGCTACACCTGCAGAAAGGTTCAAAGGCCTCCTTTGTGTGCGCCAGCATCTGTGTGGTTGTCTTCCAGTTTGACCGACTTCTGTCAGGTTTTCTACTTATAAAAAGAGAGAAGAAATGTAATGATAAAACAGAGGGAGCAGCAGCAGCCTGCTGGCGTCTCCATCCGGGCTCTGTATGTTCTGTTTACTCTTTATTATTCTAGTCATTTAAAAAGGAGGTCACGTTCACCGCATAACACCGCAATGCATAATCAGACAGGATGCATTTACGGTGACGCCTGCGCCGGTTTGTCAGCCTGAATAAATGCAAGTGGAGCTCCAGGTGGAGAGGTAATAGCTGTAGAGACAGGGATACAAAGGGAAGGGGGGGGGGGGGGTGCAGAATGCCAGAGCGTTCCCGGTCTCGCTGTTGGCAGATGGTGTTGTCTTACAAGCAAACACACACACACACACACATGCAGTCGATGTTTGAGACGCTGGGACCAAGCTGCACCGTAGATGATACATCTCTGAATGCATGACGGAGAAATGGTAAATACCTGTTTGTGTTTCAGAACAACCACCTGCGGTGGATCCGTTAACTCGCTCTGAACAGTAGCGCTTCAGTCCATTACAAAATAAAACATAAGGAATCAGAGCAAATATGCAACAGTTACAAACTACCTTCCAACTTGGTGTTTCTTTATCGTTCTTTCTTTTGCTTTTCCCCCTGATGTCACCTATTGCTCCTGACCTTGGTGACTTGCGGGTCTTCAAACACTCCATGAAGCCACACTGAAGCAAAAGGGAGTCTTAGAAAGATTCACTCATATCCCCACCGCAGGAGGTCCACTGAGATGTTCACAGTGCCATATGACAGGAACTTTTCGAGGAGTTAAAATCAGGAAATGTTCTGAAATGTTCTCGAATTACACTTTTTGTCTGGCGGTTGCTAGGCTACAAAATGAAATACATATCGGCAGATCCTATTTTGCTTTTGTTTATAAAATGACGTGCTTTAATCACACTTAAGTCTTGGCCGCTGAGAGAAGAACTTGACTTGGCTGAGGTGGAAGAATCCGTCTCATATATAATCGAAGTCATGATGGGACTGAGTGAAGATGTAGCAGAGCGATGTGTGCGAAGCAGTGCAGCGCTCCAAATTGGCTCTTTGATGGTTTCTGCATCTCACCGGAGGGTACGAGCAACAAAAAATAAGCATGAACATACATACAGTCACACACACACAGACAGGGCTACACATCTGCAAACATACCACACAGAAAAAGTAACGTAATCCCATTACTGTTTGTCATAAGTGGATGATAAACAAGTAATCCCTGTGAAAGACGCGTTGCACCAGAATACTAAGCAGCTCCGTCAAAACGAGGCAGAAAATGAAATGCATGCATTGCCTGTGCCGGTGTTGCTGTAAATTGACAAATGGACAAGAATGAATCGTGAGTTTGACACCAGCCGTGCATAATGTGATGGGGAGGCCGATACGTTATGCACACAGGCTATTGATTGCATTACAGTGCGGCGCTCCCTCCTCACCACATTAAGAGTCCAGTTTTCTCTCATTCATCCTTCCAGTGTGTAGTAATGATGGGTCTAATTAAAATGTTTGCATCATTCCAGTGCAGTGCAGATGTTTTCACGGGGAAGTATATACTAAAGCTATAAATGTCCACACCCTGAGATGCATGACACCATTTGTGTAGAGGGGAATTGAACAGTCTGAGATCTCAGAAGGACTATAACTCCTGCTGACTGAGCCCCACGGTCACGAATACCAAACTCTGCCAACTTCTAAGCCCCGTCTCTCCAGTCGGTCTCCTCTGAAGCTGTAACCCTTCCCTCTGCTAAAACCTCTTCCTCCTCAGTCCTGATCCCGTTCAGTCGCAGGAACCTTCGTGGCCTTTTTCTCCTCATCTGCCGTCCTGACTGACACCGCAACCCTGCCTCTTATTGTCCTATATATAATCGCGTTATAATCATTTGTCTGGGGAAATTGGGTATGTAGGGATGTAGCTATATTTATATATCCATGTAGATGACTTTCAGTTTAACGGAGGGAAAGGAGAAGCTAACAGGAGGCCTGTAGACAGATATAGTGAGACGCCAACAAGGCAAGGTTGCAAATATATGGAAAGACAGGAGTCATCGTGTGGAGGTGACTGCTCTATTTACTGCTGTGGCATCATGGAGTTTAGTTCAGGCATTATTTAGAATAAGAGTGTAGTCACAGGCTTTAATGATGCTGTTTTGTTTTTGAATGCACAGCCAAGAGTCATTTTCCCCTCTTATTAAAACATCCATCGTTGAAACACATTAAAAAACGCCTGTGGTGTTTCCTTCTGTATTGGAGGACCCGTATGTGTCCACTGGTCAGCCCGTTTCACAGGAAACCTTTTTAGGACTACTTCAAGTTACATTCATTAGTGTGGGTAAGACAACCTGGAGCTCAATAAGCTCACAACTGTGGAGATCACAGTCGACTTCAGGAACAGGCCCCCAATGCTGAAGTCAATGATGAACTTGGGTCTTTGGGTTCTTGGCCTCTTTTTTTCGTGGTGTTCTAGTGCGACCTAGTGGTCACCCACAGAACTACAGCTGCTTCACTTCTACACACAGCGTGACCACTTTTAGACTGAGTGGGTTTACAAAAGTGGGTCCTGATGAACATACACGAGGAATTAACATCTTTGTAAAGAAATAATACAAGATATTGTAGTAAAAATGAGCTTAAAAGACATTTCAAAATCAAAAAAGCGAGAACCAAATGCTAAATGTACTATTTAACAAAATAATTTAGGTCACAACAGTCAGGAAACAAATAATCCCCACAAACTAAATTTTACAATCCAATTGCATAAATCACTGACATAACAAGTGTTTTTAAAACCGAAAAAATGACCAATTGGAATTTGATCTACTCGTAAACGCTGTCTAACTCACTGTGTCTTTGAGTTATTTTCTCGCCTCACATTGCTGTTTTCCAGCCTTGCATTCCTTCATGTTACCTTACAAACTAGTTTCCTTCATTCATTGCACAAAGTTGAACGTAGGCATCATACAGAGCGTCTCATCACACTTGACCCTGTGCAGAAAGAAGATGAGATTAAAAACACAACCTCCTGCCGGAAATGCGAGCCAAAGCGTATAAACAACAAGGACGAATGTGTCTCTTTTGCAGTGATGGCTGCAAACAAAAGGCACAAAGCACAAAGAGCGGTATCAGTGTGACATGTGTGTGTAATGTATGCTGATACATCGTGTGTCAAAGCCCTTCAGGACAACAAACCACAACCACGCCTCCAGACTTCCAGACTGTCAGGACATCTGTCATCGCTGACAGTCATATGCCCTGCCATGTGTGTGTGTGTGTGTGTGTGTCTTTGTATGCACGTGTATATCTTTATCACAGAGCGAGAGAAAGGATGAGCGGCTCTTTGGCAACGGGTCATTCCAGAGAAGATGGGAACAGCCGTGCTTCTTAAACATTCATGCCTGGTTTCCTCAGTGGCAGTTTTTAGTTTTTGTTGCCAAAGGAGCTGAACCACAACCAGCATGTGAGACAAATAAGTGCGCAGACAGACGCACAGACAGCATGAGAGCACGGAAACGTGTATGAGACTCGGTCCAAACTTTCAAAAGTTATTTGGCCACCTCAACTGAGGCCGCCCCAGCTTCTTAATCAGTCATTCTCACAAACTACCAAAACCAACATGAAATTTACTCTAAGAACCACAATAGTCATTGATTTTCAATGGCCCTTTCTTTTATTTAACAACTATGACATTTTTAAAAAGACAATTTCAGCCTTTTAATCAACTTTCATGTGGTCTTTTGAATAACGAATAATGGGACAAGATGTCCATTATTTTCCAGAGTAGAGGTGTGTATGTATGCATGTATCCTCTTATGACACCAGGGGGAGCGGTTTTCACACACTTGGATAAAGTGTCATAGGGGATAATGTGGGGGTGGTTGTGTGGTGGAGCCATATTCTAAAGGGACAGTTTTCAATGTGATTTTTTGAAGAAAATATAATAGACACTAAATCTGTGCTGTTTATTTTCTCCTCTGTGGGACAGAGGACAGACGTGCCGCAGGTCAAAGGAACTTTTCGATGTGACGGTACAAATAATTAAGAAATGAAGTATATCAAAGAAAGATTCTTAAGCCTTGAAAATAAATTATGGCTGACTTACTCAAAAAATGGCTACAACCTTTATTTTTTCCAACTTTGTTTGCCTGTAAGTACATTGAGCGAGATTTGTTTTTCAAACATCAAATATTTGCTGATTCAAGAATATTTGAATGTGCTTGGCCAAGCTGAATTCGGATTAGACTTAAATGTCATGAAGTACATGCAAGATATATCGTAGGACATCACTGGATGTAAAAACTTTATTTGCCATAACGATATGGACAATTTCGCAATTTTTTTCCATTATCCTTAAGAGCATATATTTAAATATCTTGCCTTTTTTTGAATGATTTATTACAATAAATATGTTCAATTAAATGCATTCCCAGTGAGTGCAAAGCATATTTATATTGCCATAATGCAATAGTCAATATATCGGCCACTTGTGATGTAATAGGATGGGACATGTTTTAATACTGAACCCTCACATTTAGTCATCACCAACCGTTGAGTTGTGGTTATATCCATATATGAAACCGCTGGCCTGTATAACTTAAACAGTGTGGGATACTTTAGTCGGGTTGGTTGCTATACTGTGATCACACTATTTCCACAGAAGTTTGTTGATGAGCGGAAATACTGACACCCCACCATCCTCTAATAATACTCCATCAATACAGCCATCAGACTGTTTGGGTTTTGGATTCTCTACTTGGCACCATTTACCAAATATACCTGTTGTCATAGTGTCCTGCAGGACGAGGAAACAATAACTATGTCCATTCGTAGGCCTTATCGTAACAACGCCGGCCAATACACACATGGCTAATCAAAAGGAAAAACAGAATAAATCTACAGAGCAGCATTGACGCTGTGCTAAAGGTTTATTAAAGGAATATTACACCAGTCATTATCAATGTCTCACATTAAGAATTTAATTGGTCACATAATGTTGATGTCCTGTTTGTTGCCTCTTCGTTCGCTTCTTACTTCTCTCAGACACGTGCTTCCGTTTGTTCACAAAAAAATCTGACATTGTGAGAATATGACCAATATTACCATATGACATATTATTATCCCAGTGACCTTAAGTCACCTTTTCTCTAAATGTCTTTTTTTGTACAACAGTCTGCCCAAAAGGGATATTCTAATTGATAGTGCTTTTATTTGGGAAATTTCCAGAGTCACACGAGACATAAAACATGTGTTCTGAGTATCTATTTGCTGCTGTCAGGCGCCCTATAGTTCTCCTTAACAGCAGTCTTCACAGGGGTTCCCCATTCACAAAGCCTGACTGACTTTACAGAGGGCGGGGGGAGGTAGATAGGCAGGGAGGGAGGGAGGGAGGGAGAGACTAGAGAGAGAGAGAGAGAGGGAGGGAGGAGAGTTGAGACATCCCTTCCTCACTTGGCTGCATTCGGTTTACCGACACCGGAGAAGCGACCATGCTGTGGAAACTAGTTGAGAATGTCAAGTATGAAGATATTTATGAGGTAACGTTGCCGTCCATGTGTCTGTGTTGTTCAGGACTTATTTTGGATGCTGCTTTTGGGGAGCAATGACGTGTTGGGTTAAGTGGTGTTCTGCAGGGAGCAAAAAGGCCTCTTATTCGTGTGATGAGGGGACGTTTCACTACTCCACGAGATGTTTCTCTCTGCGCGTCTTTCTAAGGGTTCGTGGTATTCAGTGTCGTGTTTTCGGCTGTGGTGCGGGGCCACTCTTGTTTTGGAGGAAAAAAGGAGTGGATAAAGAACATTTTTTTATTTTGACCTTTTCCAGAATACACATGGACTATATCTTTAAATTTGGCACTATGTCTTTTGTGCAAAAGTATGTTCAAAAGTAACATACAACTGTCATTCAAATATATCTATATATTTCACTCCAAATACATCGTATATATTAATATTTTATAAAGACCAGTGATTGCGCAAAATCTGAATCACAACTTAATTTCAAATTCAAGCATTAAAAAATGAGGGGGCCATAATGTGTCAAATGCGTGGACATTTTTTGGCAAATTTAATCTGTTTTAAATATATATATTACGTCCGCGCCGGGGCTCGAGCATTAAACGCGCAGAAGGGGGCAGCGCACGAGGGCCCCACCGTTTAACCCCGGTGAGAAACCCTTGTCTCGTGCCGCACATGGCTTTTCTCCCACGGTGCGAAGGTGTGTGTGGGGGGTGGGGGGCAACAATGCCGTTAAAACAAGTCATCGAGGACGCAAAGAGGGGCCGCTGTAGTCTACGACAGGACGTGTAATCGCTTCTTTTGACTCGTCACACCGTTCACACGAGGCCCCCCTCGGCTCCCCGCGGTGTCTCGGGTGGGGTTTTTCTGCAGGCCGATAAAAGGCAGCTGCGACGCTTCATGAGCCACCGTTCAGTCAGCGTGTGATCGCCAACGAGTGCTATTTCGTGCGTAAAAGTAACCCGCGTTCTGGTCGTGTTAGGTGGGAACAGAACCCTTGACCTGACATTGGTGGTGGAGGCGTCACCCGATGAGTGTTACAGGGGAGCCCTGTTCATACTATCATCCATCTGGACTTTCACAATGCACGTTGTGCTAAAGTGTGTCCAACGGGGAGAAAAGGTGCCTGCGTTGCATCAGATTTAGCCTATTAAAAGCCCCCCCAAAGTGCGCATTTTTGTATGAGTGTGTGTGTGTGTGTGTGTGATGGGGAATTCCACGCTGGTCTGGTCACCCTGCTCTCACCCCTATGAGAGAGAGAGCGAGAGAGAGAGAGAGAGAGAGAGAGAGATGGGGTCGGGGGAGGGGGGTCTTTTTTTTCTATCTCCTGTTGTTCGCGCGTCGTCTCTCTCCGCGGACTTTTAACGTCACTCACGGTTGCGCGACAGGCTCCACGCTCCATGTGCCGCCCGTCCCCCTGCCCCGCGCACATTAATATTCCTGTAAGCCTCAGTCATGAATAACAATTAACGCTACACCGTATACCGGGGGTAGAGGCGGGCTCACACTCAGAGCGGAGGCAGCTCGGGGCGCAAGAGGGTTCATCATGGAGCTGTAGTTCAGGCCGTGCCTGCAGATACCAACGCGCCGCTTTTACCTGGAACGAGTTTGGCTATATCATCACGGGCCAACACTATCTTCTGTGCCGTTGACACCAACAGAGGGTTTGCAAATGTTAGTTCACTCCTACTCCACTGCGGTGAGTTTCCTCTCCTCACTCTCACTGTCCGAATTTGCGCAAACGGTGAAGCCGTGGATTTTGCCTTAGAGGTTTTCGTTAATGGGCATTTTAAATCAGGTTATAACATTTTTTCCCCTCCAGGCCCTTCTGATGCATTGTATCTCCTGAACAAAAAGCAGTGAGGCTACATCACTAGGCAACACAATATAACACATGTGCCGTGGTTCAATGGGCCGACCCTGGCCTATTTGGTTTTATTTCCTTAAAATGTGGTCGATTTATTTTTTTCTTCATTTCTCCTCTGCGCCCTCTTCAAGGACCGGCACGACGGCGTCTCGAGCCACAGCTCGCGCCTGTCCCAGCTGGGCTCGGTATCGCATCCGGGACCCTACTCCAGCGCGCCGCCGCTGTCTCACGCACCATCCTCGGACTTCCAGCCTCCGTACTTTCCGCCTCCGTACCAGCCGCTCGCTCACTACCAGAGCCAGGACCCGTACTCCCACGTCAGCGATCCGTATTCCCTGAACTCCCTGCACCAGAGCCAGCAGAGCGCATGGGGGGCGCGGCAGCGGCAGGACGCCGCCGGAGAGCGGATGGACAGCTCGGCTCTGCTGGCGCAACCGCGGGCCTCTCTGCCGCAGCTGTCCGGGTTGGACCCGCGGCGGGACTACGGCGTGCGGCGGCCGGACGTGCTGCTGCACTCCGCTCACCCGGGACTGGATATGAGCGATGGACTGCTGCAGGGGCTGCATGGCATGGAGGATATTCAGGTGAGTCCAAGATCGCGCTTGAGATTCACGGGAGTTAAAGTGCATGAAGCAGATTTTACAGCTCCAGATGTGAAGATTTTTTTTATGATATTGGCAATGTTTGACAAATTGGGGGAATATGGATCTACACTTAAATGTAATGTGTATTATCACAATAGCAGATATACAAAGTGATTCCTTCTGATTATAAGTGATAAATAAGTAACAATTTATAGCGACGCCCTTTTGTGTTTAAAAATAAACTCCAGGTATATGAACCGTGCACGGTATTAGAATAAACAGATCGCCACGGATTGGACATGTTCTTCATTGTCTCGTTGCCTTTTGGAGTGAAGGTCAGTGAACTCAGAGCAGCTCCCTCAGGGCTGGACTCTCACAGCAGCTGTAGCCTGAACACAAATGGCCCACAGCTAAACAAACTGTCCTCAGAGAGCTCAGGTATCTTCTTCGATGGGAGGATGCTGACACGGCCAATAATTCACCCATAATTCAACTGCTGCATGGAGCTCAAATGCTGCTTTTTAGAATTAAATGTCATAACTTCAATGACTACGAAGGATTAACACTCATTTAAAACAACAACGTCTGGAATATGGAGAACATATATATACCTTTACCCTTCTAAATTGTATTTTATGAATAGTTGTGATCCACTTCATTTATTATAATAACCATAGTATTATTATGGTTGTTGTTATTATTATACTTATCATTATATTATGATTATTAATATGAACCGGCTAATGCAATTGTTTTGATTGAATTCATATAATTTGAAGACGTTTTGCTGCCATGCATGTACACAAAGACTTGAAATAGAAACAGTCAGCTGTGTAGGATTTTATCTCCCTCTTGTTTCCCTTCAGGGCACAACCATTTCGAGTGTTAGCCATTTAACCTCGTATTTCTGGCTTTCTTTATTTGTGTCATACATTTATTAACCCCATTTAAATTTGTTTTAATAAGTTCAATTTTTTTCCCCTGTTTCTGTTTCCTTTTTACTGTTTTTTTCCCCGAGCGCGCAGAAGTGATGAGAAAAGGCAGGGTCTACTTATAGAGGGATTTATTGAGATTGATGAGTGAGAGTAGTTTATTGTAGCACATGAGTCACGACATTACGACCCCCCTGAAATTAATCCTGCGGCAATGTAATAAAATAAAGTTTGACACGCGTAATTATTAATGGATTTGCTTGTAGAAAGCAGACTATCATTTTTTGTATTATTTACCTTTCTTCTTACAGACCATTGACGACACCAACGGAACGAACATCCTGGATCAATCAGTTATTAAGAAAGGTAACACACACATCTTGTTGTTCCTTTACACTTTATTATATCACGCCTTCTGTGATTAGTATCGAAGTGCACAAAAAACAGACGACTCGGATCTAAACTGGACTGCGTACTCGACCCGTTTTGGTTCCGTTGAAGCTGCCGCCATGCATGCGGTGTCCACGCGGGCGCCCATTGTTTCCCCGGGGATCCGGGTTAACGATCCGGGCGCACTGACTGCAGCAGGCCGCCGTGATGATGTGCCGTGATTTAGTTACGGGACGTTGAGTGACTGAGCTCCCCGCGGGCCACTGAAGCCGCTGATGTAATAAATGGCACCGCTCACAGGAGATCTAGTGAGCTCGTTTAGAGCTAATCTGCGGTATTATCCCCCGTGGAGCCATAATAATAATACAAAAAAAGAACCGTTTTGCACTGGCCCGTGCGCATGCATGCACGTCTTCTTCTTCTTCTTCTTCTTCTTCTTCTTCTTCTTCTTCTTCTTCTTCTTCTTCTTTTCGAGCATTAACACGCTGCTGGTGGGAGTTAAACCGTCCGTAGAGATAAAGACGCGGAGGGGGTTAACGCGATGGCGAGAGCGCGGGCCAATCAACAATCGATAATATTGTAATGAGAATGTCGCGCGACATTAAATAACAGCGGAATGCCCGGCGCGCGGGCGCCTCATTAGGCCAGGCCCGCTGCTCAGAGCGCGCGCGGTGTCCACGCGCCGGGATTTGACAGAAGACATTTGGAACTTGTTTGTATTTACCTGAAAACCACAACAACAACAACCAATAGTTCCGTGTGTGATATGTAAGACCTGTGTCCGTCTCCTCTCCCAGTTCCCATGCCACACAAGAACATGGGCTCCCTGATGCTCGGCAAGGACGGGCTGATCGGGGGCATCACCGTGAACATCAACGAGGTGTTCTGTTCGGTACCGGGCCGCCTGTCGTTGCTCAGCTCCACCTCCAAGTACAAAGTGACCGTAGGGGAGGTGCAGAGGAGGCTGTCCCCGCCCGAGTGCCTCAACGCCTCCTTGTTGGGGGGCGTGTTAAGAAGGTAGGACTACTTCCGCCTCGCAACGCGCGGAGGAATACCTCTGCGGATGTAAAAAAAAACAGAAAGAAAGAAAAGCGCGTGGCCCTGGGATCTATTAATTAAATCCTGAGCTGCGGCCCTTTGTACCGTTTACCTCACATAGATTCTACTTAGCAGTAAAATCTCTGGAGACTAACTGGGGCATAGGTTGATGGCTGAAGTTCAAACTGTAAAGTGAATGTTGGCAATTTATCAAGTTAATGCTCTGTGGGAGAATTTTTGTAATGTGATACATTTTTTTAATGAGAATATGCATACATCTCTCAAATATACAATGCACAAGAATTATGCTTCTTTTTCCACAGAGCAAAGTCCAAAAACGGTGGGAAATGTCTGAGAGAAAAGCTGGAGAAGATCGGACTCAATTTACCGGCAGGAAGACGCAAAGCTGCTAATGTCACATTACTAACATCTCTTGTCGAAGGTGATTGATGTGCTGTTTTTTTTTCTTTTTTGTTTACTCGATAAATACATAAACTGCAGAAATTTATTCTCTTCCCGGAGATAGACTCATTGGAGAAATTGTGGTTCTAAGAGCTGCTTAAAATATTATCAGCATCATATCCAATACTCACAGCTGGAATACTGCAAAGGTCACACCTTGCAGGAGTAACAAATGACAATAAGCCTATTCATGATCTGGAAAACAAATATTCAATATTGATTAGGAGGATTGGGGTTATTTAATCCAATGAAATGGCTCATTAATTAAATAGTTAGCTACTGAAGGTTGGGCCTGGCCGGTTGAATGCCAACAATTTGGGTATTTTCTATATAGCCCTTGTGTCTCCCAAATGTTCCATGTTGTAATATTTCACATGAATGTGGCTGTTTCAATTAAGATAAAGGTAATATATGAAGGGACCGTTTCTTCCAAAATGTTTCAAATGTAGTACATGAATTCAACTGAGGATTTGCTCATATACTCAGAATACAATGAAGCAACTTAAAAGAAGCATGATAATTAACCAGAAATGATAGGATTTATTTTTACTCCAGGCATAATAATACCAAAAATAAATATTTTATTACGATTTCATTCATTTTATTTGTTGATAGAAAACACTGGCTAATAAGCACATGCCGTTCATTTTGACAATTAAAACCGATAAATCGGTCTACACTGAATGTGTCACCTCACAGGTCGACAGCGGAGGGAAAGTAGTGCGTGTGGGGGTTGACCATTCAGTTTGACCAAATATGTCCACACCCGAGGAATAAACTGAAGTACATGACTTACCTCTTCACAAAAAAACAGAAACACGTGTATGTTTTCCTAAAGAGGTTCTATGGCTTTTTTATCTGCACCACATCTCCATCGGCCGTAACCTCTCCTCCACCCGTCCCCCAGGCGAAGCGGTCCACCTGGCCCGGGACTTCGGGTACATCTGCGAGACGGAGTTTCCCACCAAAGCCGTGAGCGAGTATCTCAACCGACAGCACGCGGACCCCAACGAGCTGCACACGCGGAAAAACATGCTGCTGGCGACAAAGTGAGTTTGATGGACCGTTTGATTGGATTACGTAGAATAATCTGTTCGCGGCGCTGTCTGTCATGGAATATATTATACACTGCCCGTAGTTTTAGTCAAAAAACGGGTTTTAATGACAATATACCCCCACGAGGATAGCTGTAGTTTATTTGTAGTTTAATTGAAATGAGCAAAATAGAGATTTAGACAGTTTCAACGTCACAGAGAATAAAATCCAGGGTCCATGTTTGTCTCTATACGGACGGGCGAAGGGATTGGTGACAACAAAACACACGTTTACACAAACATCCAGTCTAGCTCAAAACATTTTAGATCTTCCTAATGCAGCAGATGTTCTCCTTTTTAAACGCCCCACATTAGTGTCACATTTATGGCTGTAAATACAAGGTCTACAGTTCCAGGGTGCATGTGGAAACATTTTGTCGCTGAATTTAATTACATAACACACACACACACACACACACAGGGGGAAAACATGAAATTCATGTTCTGTAAGTAGTTACATTTCTGATAAATTAAATTATTGTGAAATTAAATTTTCCCCGGGGCCTCTGTGGCTCCTCTTTAAGACCCCTAAGGGGCCGAACGCCTCCTATATCCTCTGCTCTTACTACACACCATTTTACCAAAGTGAACGTGGCATTGACATTTAAAAAGAGAGATTGAGTTTTTACTTTACAAAAGTCACTTCATATGGACCCAACCTGTAATGAAAACGGCTGATTGTAAAATTGGCCTTTAAAAAATAAAAAAAGTTAAATTGATTTCAACCATTTTAGGAAAAACAGGGCAGAAATCTGCGTTAAAAGTTAACACAAGAGTATGTGAACCTTATTTGACGCTGGACACCTTAATGTAGCATATGAGCTCACAGTCGTCATTAAGTAACAGCTCTGAGGCTGCTGGTCTGTGTTTGACCACTGCTTCTGCTCTTGGAAGCCATCCACTTTACCGGTTTCCCCAGTACAGTTATTCATATAAATCCATTTTTATGGCCGTTCAACTGTAGAATTGAATCCAGAATCTTGTGATTACTTTTTAGCGAGCGAGCAGCATAGATCTTCTTTAAAGGAACCAGGGCAGTATAAATGTAGATTGAATCAGAACTTCTTTGAATTTTCTCTCTTTATATATTATGAGCAAAAAAAGAGAAAAATTTGCCAATTAATGTTTCCTGTCCATTTATTCCCCTGAATGAGTTTAAAAGGCTGCAGAGCTGCAAAGCATATCTAACAAAGATCCCTTCAGGAAGCTCGTATTTTTAGCTTGCATAAACAGTGCTGTCTGCTGGCCTGCAATGCATGAACCATCTGCCTACGTGTGTGTGTGTGTGTGTGTGTGTGTGTGTGTGCATCCCAATGTTCTCGGTGGTGTGGTTGGTGGTGGATGTTTGATGCTCACATTCAAACCTGTTCCAACGCCGTGTGTCGGTGCTGCCTCTTGGAAATTCATTATTTAGCAGCGAAGTGTTTCAAGTCGTCAGAAAACAACAGCGCGAGCCTTGAGTGTAGCCCGCGGTGGCGGCTTCGCCTCTCTACTCCCCTAACCCCAGCTGGGCTCGGCCTGCACAGCCTGTCACTCATTTGCTGAAGCTCTGCCCCAAGGCCGCGCACAGGGTGTGTGTGTGTGCGCGTGTGTGTGTGTGTGTGTGGTGCATGCGGGCGTGCGAGTACACATTTGAGAGAGAGAGAGAGGTCTCTTGAATATGAAATGTGGGGCCTAAAACCAGAGGAGGATTTGCTAAAATTTTACAAGGAGAAAAGGTGAAGATGGGTTTTTCTTTGACACATGAGGCATGAGATCCATTCAATGACATCTTGTCTCGAATCACATACATTAACGGTTAGAGATGATTCATAAGGTGGTGGCTTTTGGTATTTCGCTGAGTTCAAGTGTTTCTCTCATTCTTGAAGATAATTTTCCAACGTGAATGTTATATTCAATTCAATTCATTTTATTTTGTATAGCCCAAAATTGCAAATTACAAATTTGCCTCAGAGGGCTTTACAGTATGTACACATACGACATCCTCTGTCCCCAAACCCGCCATCGGCATTTATCCAGAGCATCAACAATAAAACGTGTAAAACGTGTAATGTCACTTTCATAATCAAAGATAGAGCTATGTATTAGATTTTCAAGTGAAACTGAAAAAAGGTATGAACTCTCTTACAGAATACAAAAAGTAAAAACTCTTCCCTAAAGCATACTTTTAGTGAGCGAACTCCTATTGCCAACGGTCTGCGCCCATCAGCGGTGAATTATGCTTTGCCATAAACAGGACAATAGTGTGACATCATTTGGCAATAAAACTATGAAAGTTTACAATAAAATAACCAAACACATTCAGAGTATGTGAAAATATATCTCTGTTATTACAGTGTTACATTTGAAGTGAAGAGTTCTAAGTGGCTGCATCAGGATCGTGCTCTTCCCTCTGACTGTAAAATGAAAAGTTGAAAAGAAAGTTTGCCGCTCTGCGCTGCAAAGTTAGCATCTCAAATCTTAATGACACCACACGGAGCTTTTCCCAGCTAACAGGGTGGTGCTGTCTGCAGCCGGTATAGAATCTGAAAGAACTGCATCTGTCTGGCTTTCAGCTCTTTTCTGTCCTTGTGAACTGTAATATTCATTCATTTTTGGTTGGGCCTGTTGCAAGCCAACACAACCCCATATCTATATTCCTAATATACTGTAACCTACTGACACCTTCTTTAGCTTGCGTTCAGATCCAGGTATTATTCAGGGAAGAACTACTGCTGCAAAATATTACTCACTGTCTTCCTCTGAGACTGTTTCTCCCCACAGGCATCTGCCCGTGGTTCCTTGGGGGGCCTTTCAGTCGACCTTTTCCGCTGATGGTGTTTAAAAAGACGGTTGTCATGTTTGGAAAACCCCTTAAATGACGCGTACTGAACACTGCCACGGAATGTCGACCATCAGCAGTGGCATTACTGCCTGATATAAGGCGGAGTTCCCTTCTGACGTCATGTGCCCCCCCCTCCTCTCTTGCAGACAGCTGTGTAAGGAGTTCACAGACCTGCTGGCCCAGGATAGGACTCCCCTGGGCAACTCCAGGCCCAGCCCCATCCTGGAGCCGGGCATCCAGAGCTGCCTCTCCCACTTCTCCTTCATCACGCACGGCTTCGGCTCGCCCGCCATCTGCGCCGCGCTGACCACCCTCCAGAACTACCTCAACGAGGCTCTCAAAGGACTCGACAAGATGTTTCTCAGCAACCCTCCCAACAACCGGCACGGGGACGGTGGTGGCGGCAAGGCCGACAAAGACGAGAAGCAGCGGAAATGAAGCTGGGGAGGCGACGACCGAGGGAGCCGAACGGACGGAGGCGTCAACACCGTTACTTCTAGCTTTACACCACTGCCACTGACCTGCCACACACTGGGCCGAGGTGGAGGAGGAGGGCTCGGTGGAGAGGAGAAAAAGGCGGAGGAAGACACCTGAGGGCCAGTGTCAGAGAGCACAGAGGGATGTTTCATCTGTGTTACGTTCTTTTCATTCCCCTGAGGACATGATGGTTACTGTGTTACATCCATTTCGCTCCCCCTGCCTGCATCCTGTGAGACTGAGATGCTGTGAGCAGCCAACAAACAACATTGTGGGTGTGTGCGTGAGTGAGTGTGTGCCCGAGTGTGTGTGTGTGTGCGTGTGTGTGTTTGTCCTCACGCAGAAAAAAAACATTGTGGGTATGAAGATTGGCTCATTTTATCTGTGAAACAGGTTCGTCTGGTGACTTAACGAGGAGGGAGGGTGTTAATTTATGTGTGTAAATATTTATTTATATTAATTTAAATGGATGGTTGTGTAAATAGGTGCACCAGCTATTTTGGAGTAGGCCTATTTATCTGTAATTTGACCTTTTTGTGTGCAGGCGGGAGTGCAGGACTTATCCAGTGTTTTTTTCTGTTGTTTATAGAGCTGTTGTCATGGTGCTGATGATGGGTAGACATGCTTCTAATTGTCCAGTGATTTCATTTCTATCACATTGATAATAAACCATGCGTTTTATTATGTGAGGTGTGCAGCCTGTGCCTTTTCTCCAGGAGAGTCACACTAAGTTTCGCAGGTCAAAGTAAAACTTACTGAAGTTGAAGTTGTATCGATTGTGACGCAGGGGGGGAAATCCATAGGCCGGGCATATTGATTTGAGTGAAATGTGAATTAGCGTTTAACAACCGCTGTCCGTTCATCACAACCGGATAAAACCTGTGTAAAAAAAAATTAAACCATTTAGATCTCCATTAAATTTAATTCACTTTTCCTTTTAATTGCACTGCAGAAGACGCTATGACAGAGCTAAGAATTGTTATTTCCACATCAACTCAGTTCACACATAAGCTTTAAGCTGTTAATAATCCCTAATCACTTATACACTCTCAATCCTCCTGAAGAGAGAAAATGATCGGCTCTGTAAAAAATGATAATACTCTTTACTCTTTAAAATTAGTCTTGGATTTAAATGTAAATATTGGGGATCCACAAATTTGGGATGCTATTGATACACTGAAAAGAACTATTTCGCAGTCATCAATGTAATTCAAAATGACTTTTTTACCGTAACAATGTTTTCAAGAATAAGAAAAAAACGCTGTAATATTTATGCAGTATTTTCCATTTTATAGGCCATTTAAAAAAAAAATCCCCTTCATTGTGGTCTTGTAATGTTAAAAAAAGGCCAAATACACCTATACATATTATAAAATGTGCCTATGTTGGTAATGATGACGTGGAGATATAAGATGTGTCCTAATGCAATCTTGACAAATCCATGACCTGCGTATATTCAAGTAAGGAAAATGTTATATTTTGCTCTGTAAGGTCTAAAATATCGGTATTCTGGATTCCACCATGAAATGAACAAGCGTGCACACACACACACACACACACGCACACTCACGCACACTCACGCAGGCGCGCGCACGGCATGATGGATACTCCCTTATTCCGGTGAGATAATTGGCTGTATCTTCCGTCCAGCGAGGCCCTCGTTTCAGGGAGGCTTTCCTCTCTCTCGCAGGGGGGGAGAGAATCGTGCCTCGCAGGCCCGCTAATGACGGCACAGAGAGAGAGAGAGAGAGAGAGAGAGAGAGAGAGAGAGAGAGAGAGAGGGGGGGGGGGACGCAGTAAGAAGACTAATGAGGAAAAGAGAGACGTAGAGAAAAAGAAAACAGCGAGGGGGAGCTGAGGAGGAGGAAAGGGGCAGAGGGGGGGGACAGAGAGGGGAACTATCCCGCGGGCGCAGTGTGACCCGTGGAGTGGAACGCCACGTGACGCAGGTGCAGAGTTCAGCACCCGCGTGTCCGCGAGCCATTTCTCGCTCAACAAAGACGGGAAGCTGCCGAGCATCAGCGGTTACAACGACGACAGGTTGGCTGGAACTACAAACAAAGAGGCTGAAGAAAAACAACAACAAAAACCCCGCAAACACGGAAGAGAAACCCGCCGTTCCCACGGATGACCCCGGGCGGCGTGCGTTCATCGCCGTCGGTTTTAGAATATATAAACGAGTATATTTAGGATATGCGTATTGTTTAGGAATCCAGAACAAAACAAAATAAATAATGAAAACAATCGTAGCGAGTGGTGCACTGAATCAGCAGGTTGATAAGACAAATTAAGGATGGAGCGTGTGGAAGATTATTAGAAAAAGCGACGTGGCTACTAATAAAATCACAATAAAGCGCAATAAAAATATAATACTCAGTTTTAATGTTAAAATAAATGTGATTAATCAACAGAAAAAATCATTAGCCGTGGCGTTGACTGGATGTTTCTATTCCCTTCCAGCAAAAACATCCTCTGCTGGGACAATAATACATTACATGTCATACATAATACGCCGTAAACTCAATTAAAAGGTTGAAAGGTGTTGTGTCTTTGGACTATTCACTTATTTGCGAACTACTTCTCCTCAAACCGTCATTCCAAGCAAATAAAAACAACAATTTGTGCAGGTTTTGATCCCTTTGCAAATAACGCTAGTTTTGTGTATTGAGCCGCAGGACTCTTGAGTCAAGACTCCATCTACACATACATGTTGACAAATGGGAAAATGCAAATGTTATAAATTACATTAATCTTATGGGCTATCAACAATTTACTTGAATTGGAAGTCTAAAAAGAAGGTTCTTTTTTTTACTGAAGTCACAAATATCGGCCTGAAATATGCAGATGAATTAAAAACAATTAATTTTGTACATGCAGTAACCTTTACTGTTAACAAGATGTCAAGGTCCTACAAACACCAGTGGTACATTTAACCAGCTCATAATAATAACACCTTATTGAGTTAACTCCTGCTTTATAGATTCAGTCCTAAATACAAGTTTACAAAACCTTGTGTCAGAGCAGTTGCATTCTCAATGTTTTGTGTAATGTTTTCGCCCCCTGAAGGATGTACAACAGTGTGAAAACTTGTCAATGAGTTCCAGAGTTTCCAGAAATCAATGCGAGCTACAGGAAGTTTTAAACCTCATCTTAAGCTACGTAAAAAAATAAATTAAAAAAATGTGTGCAGCTTCAATACTTCATCTGCTCACTAATCTAAACATATACAAGTCATTATGAACAGAAAGTTCAAACTGGTAACATACAATTCCAGGCCTACACAGGCGTCACATGAGCGTTCTGATGCAATTATCCAGAAAGAAACCAAAAGTCTGGTGGAGGGCATGCAGAAAGGGTGAGTCAGGCCCTGCAGGACCCACTATAGGCCGTATAGAGCTATGATGGAATACCTTTGGATTATTACAGGCGTGTTAAAGTGGTGTGACGTTATTTCCTCTTTTGTGGGGTTCACATAACTCGTGCAAAATTCTGCACTGCTCTTCCACCATTGGAAGACAGACCAGTGTTTGTTCAGGAGTTGCATATGACGAATATGATGAATTGGCCGATAATGGGACGCACTTTTTTAATTATTGAGAGGACCGGTGGAAGGTAATCCAGTGACGAACGTGGGCCGCCCTTATATTTGATCTACAGAGCATGAGAGCACCACTGACGGTCGTTTCTTTATGCAGTTATGTCTGCATCTCCGTCTGTCCGTCTGTCCTGTTGGCAGGAGAGAGCAGCTCCCCATCAGCAAAGCCCCTCAGCGTTCTGTCATGCAATGGGCTGTAAAAATGCTTATCCAACACACACACACACACACACACACACACACACACACACACACACACAAACACACACACACACACACACACACACACACACACACACACACACACACACACACACAGGTTATCCAGCATGCAGACAGCAGAGTGCCGGTTGGGAGTAATTCCAGCTCGGGGCACTGTGCTCCAGGCAAGGCAGGCGCGTGCTGGATATTTCATTATTCATTAATTTACTGTTTAACAAATCCTGTCATTACTGAGCCTGAGCCGAGTTCACACACACACACACACACACACACACACACACACACACACACACACACACACACACACACACAGACATACACACACAAAACACACCATTGCAGCAGTGGGTGTCAGGCGTGGAAAATGGGCCTGTTTGATCCCGGCCTTCTCAACAAACGGGGAGAGAGCCATGAATAATAAGAAACGCGAAGCCTCGCCGGAACGAGGGAGCGTGACACTATCTCACAAAAAGCCCTTTAGCGTGGAGCAAAGCTCCGCCGGGGCCTCACAGAGGGCCCAGGGTTCATTATATGAAAAGACAAAACAAACAGTTGGCACAAACCGTGATCGATGTGAAAGGCAAAGCTCCCACACACGCACAAAAGGCGAGAGGGAATCAGTCATGTTTGACAAAAGACACCGCACTGTTTCCCCTCTGCACACGGAGGAGTCTAGCATGGCTGCTGTTTACTGTTTTCACCAGTCCACTAATGGGATCAGGATTAAAGCTGTGAATATGTGTTTTTGGCTCATCCATCCAACGATGTTTGGCTGAAATCCCTACAAAAACAAAGGGGTACTTGAGTTTCCCATAAAACAGTTGAAAGATGAACTCAGACACCAGAATAATGACTTTTGCTTTTTAAGTCTATTTCACTTAATTAATTAACAGAGGAAGCCTCAAGGCTAAAAATATTCATTACTTCACAGGAAGAAAAACAGATTTCGTAAATATTATAGTGATATATTTGTGTTTCTTAACATTTTAATCTAACTCACTCTGTAAGCAAACCTCAGTCGCGGCATGTGGCGGACAGCGGGTGGCCACAGACTCCACGCCATTAACACGTGACATATGCAGAGCTGACTGGGAGTGGCTGGAGGCCCGGTGTTTGTCTCCGCCTGCGTTCCCGAGTCCGGGCTCTGTCAGCAGCCGAGGAGCCGAGCCGCCGTCTGCTGCTGATGGTGGTGAACACGTTTATCAGTATGCATGACGGACAGAGCGCATGGATGTGTGCTGGCCGGTAGCTCAGGGCATGAGGAGGAGGAGGAGGAGGAGGATGTGTGGGCAGGGACACGGGCAGTCTGGGTCCCTTAAGGTTGGACTGGAGACGCTGAGTTGAAGTGACACAGCTGATGCTGATGCCGCCTCTCCAGACGGGTCAAGGTTACGCAGAGGGGAATACGCTTCTGCCACATAGCGTCTCGCAGCCACTTACACACTGAGACACCCGCGTACAATCCCGGGAATACAAAGCAATGCTCTCTTAGCCACCAAGGTCAACAACGTCCAGTTATGTGTTGCTAGGAGATCCTTGTGTGTTTATTCGCTGCATCTTAACAGGTTGTTTTCCGGCTTGTAAAGATGTTAATAGTGTGCCAAGAATTCTAATTTGGTCGGGTGACCGAGTCCCTGTTGACTGATGTGTCACTGCTGTCGCGTTGGCCTCTCACTCTCAGGCTTTCGCATCTGCTGACATTTGTCGAGCATTTCGGGAAAATCCCCGTGTTCGCATTTATGCCAAGAGTTACGTTACGCCACGAGACGATCCTTACAACACTTCTATTTGTCCTTTAAATATGAAGCTGCAGACAGGAGAGGGTGAGCTTAACTTAAAGATGGGAAATAAGTACTGACAGCCAGCATGTGC